ACGCTCCAAGCATGCAAAAGCCCGGTTTCCGGAATCTATCTCGGAGCCAAAGAATCCGGGATGGGGGAGGACTGTACGGAGCCCCCTTCGGATATTCGCCCGCATACCACAGATTTTCACAAGCGTGTCTTTAGCACAATCGGGCAACAACATTGTACGGCGGATTTCTGAAATGCTGTCCATCGGTAGATTCGTCGACGCGGTAGATTGGCTATGGAGAGAAGCTCTAGCTTGTGTAGATCATACACCAGGCTGGTCCGGTCTCGGCACAAGGAGTGAGGTCGGATTCGTTTCTTTCCTTGCTTATGGGAACCGATCAAGAGTGGGTTGTTACCGATCTACTGAATCCTCTGGCATCGGGCTTTCGCCGCGGAGGATTTCGAATCGTCGGCGAATGCTCATAATGTCCGTCGCCGGATCGTTCTCCGGATCATTGGTTTTCCCCCACAAATGGCCGGCGCGACCGTTTGAGCGAGCTCCTCGATAACAATAATGATGGTAGAAGACACAACATAGTTAGTTTACATAGTTTCTGAGCTGTGTACGCGTGGGAACAGCGCATCCCTCTGAGGCCGTTGGAAGAAATGCTCGAGCTCCGTTTTTGCCTGTGGACGCAGCAAGAAAAAAATGAATCAGCTGCAAGACGCGACCACTGAATGGTGGGTTCACTTCGAGAGTCCAGTTGTGGTTCTCAGAGATCGGGTGCCCCCTAGGTGAGTGAACTCGACTCCGCAGGTGTTGTCGCGGCCGTTGTTGTTGTTGTTTCTGCTGCTGATACCGATGTTGCCCAAAGGGTTGAGACTTGAAGTCACGGCTCGAGAATCTCGGAGGCGCCAATAACCGGTTATCCGAGAGAATCTTGGCGAGCCGCAGAGAGATCCTCGTCAAGTATCTCGAGCCCGATTTGTCCGAAAGCTCTGATCCTATGCTGCTATTGTGATTCGGTTTCGAAATTCGGCCTTCCGATGGTGAACCGCTTTCTGCAGTTCCATTTCGAAGGCACCGGAAGCTCCGCACGTGTCCGAAACTTGTCGCAGAATTTGTTGTTGACATCTGGCGTCCCGTGTTCGATCGCCTATTATATCTAGCGGTGGCGCCAACTTTTGGCTCTTTCAGAGCAGCGGAGTGTGGACCGTGATATCTGCGCTCGGGCTGCTGTTTTAGGCCATCGGGCACAGGTGACGTAGAACGCGTCACGCCGGAAGCCGTGTAAGTACAACGAGTGTCGCTCCGAGTGATCGATAATGATGTAAGTACATCGGACAACATTCCGAAGCGAAATAGGCGCATACTCGAGTGAAGCTCTATCCTGATATGCCAATGTGAGAGGAATATGTTTCATGTACTATCAGCTCGGATTCCGACGAGTCAAGCCATCAACCCCGAACGGGACGTTCACGTGTATTCTTCTGATCGGATAAATTGATCATTCCGAGGTATCTTCGGGAGAGACCGGCTTGGTAGCTCTCCCAGGAGTTTAAGGGTGAATTCATCAACCTCGAGCCAAAAAGTGGATAAATCCGGAACGCGCCGCGGAAATAGCGACAATAACGTGTTGGTGAAATCGATGGCGAAATGGGTCTCGGCCCCGTCTCCTCTCCCCGCATTCGGAATCGCTCATCCAATAATTATCGTTGTCCATCCGTTCCCGATTGGATCGACGGATCAAAACAGAGAATTCACGCTCGTCATCTTGAGTACTCTAGCCCTACAATGCTCCCGAGAAACTTGGAGCTCTTCGTTCCTGAGGACCGTCCCTCCCAGATGCTCCAGGAGCCGGTTGAGCCGGTTCTTCGACGTCGCTGTCCACTCTATATCAGATTTCTTTCCCATGGCCGAGATCTTCTTGACGTTGTTCTTCAGACGCTGAGATTTGTACTCGTCGCGGTTCTCAGGCGCCTCCGCTGCGGGCATTGCTCACGAACGAACCCGTTAGAGAGCCACCCAGCCCAGCTCACAACCTGTTGGTGCCTCAATGAATAACCCTTCCCAGCAACGTTCCCAAGAATGGAATACCATTGAGAGGAGCGCCTCATGAGGTTCTGTCCGCGTTGCTCGAGGCGAGTGCTTGGGAGCCCGGCTCACAATGTCAAAGTCATCGAATACTCCTCTCAACGTGAGGAGTCACGTTGACGACGATCGACGAGCCTGACCGAAGGCTGGAAATCGAAGGCGCTCGATCAAGCCGGGACGCCCGGGCTGCAGAACGCTGAATCAGAAGTTTTTAAGTAACGGGCAATATGTCAAAGAGCATAATAGCGAGCATGGACTGCAAAAATCTCACAGGTTGAGGCTTCGAAGCTCCGTTGGTGGAGATCTGTTAAGAAGCTGAGGGAACCAGAGGATGGTAAGGTACTTCGCGATCTTTGCTCCTCTTCGAATCTTACAGAGTCCTATCCGGGCATCTTCTCTATCGAGAACTTCACGACGGGCTCCGGAGATCGCTGATTCGTTCCCCGACACTCATTTCGGGTAGAGACGGAATTGCTCGCAGCCCAACAAGTATCCAGTCTGTTGTCCGTCTCGCGGCGTATCACGAGGCTGCTCTAGGGTTTTGACAATCGCTATTTGAGAATCGTTGCTCTCAGACGGAGGTTTTTCGCCCAAGCACCTGATGGAAGTCGCTGCGGCACTGGTAAGCGCTGCGAAATTATTGCAGCCTGCTCGAATTGAGCACTGCCGTGTCAGCTCTTGGAAGAGCTGAATCGAAGCTATATTCTTGATCTCGTCGAGTTTCTCATGATGAAACAAGCTCGGAGCGCGCAAAGACAAAAATACTCGTCCATTGGTATCACGATGACGGAGCCGGTAGAAGAATCCTTTTAGTTCTGAACAGGTGGTATCCTGTGGCCTCAAAAAAATACTGCCGCCTCACTGCCGTATGCTCTCGTACAGTATGGATTTCCTGATGATTTCATGACCATGCCTGTTCGACGAAAGGGGCTCAGAGTGTGGCATCGGGAACACGGCTGTTCGTAGAGACAGTGCGAAATTTACCGAATCTCTGAGCAGAGAATGGGGGCGCAAGAAAGTCCACGGAGGGGCCCCTCATTGAGCTCGGGGGCCGAAGTGTACGCTCGGCACAGATGGCCATGGACTCTTTGAGTGCCTGAGAACAGATTGCTCATAAATGCCAAGCGCTGGGAATCTTCGGAGATCATCATATTCACCTAGCTCAGGTGTGAGGGAACGAATTCCGTCTCCCGACAGCTTCATGCTTCCGCGTAGGTACTGAGGCGTTGAGCATCGATGTTGACTTCGGAGATAAACCGAGGCTATTCGAGACAGTCGGACCCGCATATGAGAGATAAGCATACATATAAGAGACTTTACCTTTGAGAGACTGATTCCCTTCCCCGTTTTTCGAGCCCATAGACTCCCATGAGAGGATTTAGGCGCACCTCGGGCGAACGTACCCGGTACGGAATCGCCATTCACGACCATCGGACCCGCAGTTATGTCTATCCGCGTATAGAATTGAACTCGCATACAAAAGACTTCTTCGCTCTTTCCAAGCAGTCTTTTATGAGCGGGTCCGACTGTATTTCGCGGGACCCTTTTCCTTCGCTCCGGGAGCTCTTCCGCTATTGGAGGAGCAGATGAACGGCCCCGAGAGAACTCGGCTCTTTCCATTGCTTGTCTGTGCCTTTACAGCCCACTTTGATCCGTTTCGACACTTAGCTTCCGAATTCACGATATTCGGCGAATAATTTGCTCATGCTGCGTGAGAAGCTTGCACGAATCGCTTCGTACGTCGTTCAATAGTATTATACAGCATCCGATGGAGTTCCGCTGCGAGGGAACTGAAGTCGCTGATCCGTTCCCGATTCTCGAGTCGCTACGCAGCCTTTAACGCTTCGATCCATCCTAAGCCTCAATCCTTCCCAACAAGCACTGACTTGAACTGATCCAAGGGGGCTCTATCAATCGTGGATGGGGAGTTTCTAGGAAGGATGGGCGATACACGCCAATCGACCATCATGTCGGGCTCAGCGAGCATAGCCTCCATGACTTTTCGCACAAATGCCCTTCTTCTCAAATGTCTTCAGATGGAGTACCAGTCGCTCCTTTCTCTGAACTGCGGCTAGCGAAAAGCTCGAATCCCTTCCACCAAGCCGAATCAACGTCCAGAGCTGTGTGAGCTCGACGTTTCTCAGTCAGAAGCGTGATCAGGAGAAGAGGAGTCTTTCAGAGTGAAAAGCAGAAGCGTCAGGAGGCCGGAAACCTGAGATGGTTTCCCTACGGTCGTGCCAGCAGTGTCCTCCGCTCTGATCGGAGGGTTTTTCGACAAGTTGCGATGCCAGCTCGTATCCCGTTTCTGATCCGCCATTTCATGAGACGACCAAGGTATATTTTCAGCTCGTTGAGGGAGAAGTCGACCGGTGAATTTCTTCGTAACAAGGTCACCGTTTATTCAGTAGATATCATTGTATAAATCCGGGATAAAATCAACTAAAATGAGGTAGAAGCTGTCTATGCACTCCATTCTAGTCCTTGGCTACCCTCGGAACGTGCCCCTCATGTAGCACATCTCCGTCGCTCGAACTAGCGTAGCTGCGTCTGTGGCGATGCTAAAAAATTCTGAACGACGCCATCTACAAGCGGGATAAAAACTTACCTCATATACACGAAAACTAGAAGGATAGTTTACAAGACTGAAAGTTTCGAAAGCGACGGAAATCTCGAGTTATTCCTCGCTTCCGGATTACATCTGTGTGCGTCGATCTCTCACTCCCGGTCAATGACCCTGCCAGTCGAAGCCCAATCATATCATGATTAACAGCTTGATGGAGACCTGAAGTCGCCATCTAATTCGATGATTCATGAGATTTGCCGCCATCGTATGCGGGACCGAATTATGTCGCACCGAATTCTACAGAAATAAATGTAAGGCAACAGACCGAACGAGATACAAATGCATGGTGGCTGGTGAGACACAACCTGGGACTTGAGCGATTGCTTTCCCAGATAGAATAGGGTCAACACGGTCAAGCTCCGCCTCAGAAAGCTGTCGCACGAGAAATTCCGAAAGGCCCGAATTTCCGGCTCTTGAGCGACTCCGCTTCGAGGAGAGCTTTCTCCAGAATCTGAAGATACTCTTCCGCTATCTTATTTTTTTCAATATTCTTCTGCTGTTCTTGCGTTTCCAATTTGTTGAGGAACTTCTTCGCGATCGAAATCCGGCCCTCAGCTTTGCTGTTTGCGAGCTGGCTGAAACGAGCGATTGTTCCGCCGGGGTATTGCACGCACAGCGTGACCTCGATGAAGTCTCCCTCGTACACTGAAACAGGAGAGGAAAATTGTTTCTCTAGTCTGCGTATCTCGATGGAGACCGTACAAATAGATATAGCGCAATTGAGGGGCTCGATCAGGATGGGAGTGAACGCTTACCATCATCCCAGGAGAGGCTGTACTCGAAGTAGCTGCCTGGGAATCTCGCGAAGAGCTCTCTGATGGGACTTATCGGGATGTTGTTCGCCAAACGCAGGATCTGCTCGCCGCAAAGCTCAGCGTAGACGGACCATACAATCTCGAGATTCTTGCCCGAGTCGATGAAAACAGCCCCAACGAGAGCCATCAACATTTCCGCGAGCGCCAGCGGCACCCGATCATCGTCGGTGTCATCCGATTCCCAATCGCCCAGACTTTTACTCGGCTGCGGTTCGTAATCATCTAAGCAGTCGATATAATTCCTGATCACAGTGAAAAGCGATTGATTTGTATAGAGCAAGTTCTTGTGTAAACCATTCTTCGCGACGATGTGCGCATGGTTGACCGCGCTGCAGATGGACGCTCTCAGCTCGAATAAGTTGTACGATTCAACGTCGAGCGGGAGTGATGCGATGAATTTAGAAATGAGGTATTCGATAACCACGGCTCCGATGCTGCATAATTGTACATTAGATTGCGTCAAGGAGTCTCCTCTGTACGAGTGATGCGTTATCGCCTCCAAGACCAACGCCTTGTGTTCGAAACGGTAACGGAGACGACTCTCCACCGTTTCGATCTGATGCAACCGATTAAGAATCACTGCGTCCGAGTCACTGACTCGAAGTGAATCCAAATTCAGGGCGAAGGCGTCGACGAAATCCGGCGAGTCTATCGATCGACCGAATTCGAGGCCGAGCCATCGCATCACCCTCAAGGCTCCTGAAGGCCCGCATTTGTCAACGGCCAAACCCGTGATAGCTTTCACCGCATCCGCGGCAACCCGAGCCCTGTATGTTTGAAATTTCTTCACAGGAACTTGCGATGGGAGCTCACCCGCCTCGAGCGTCGTTTGTAAAGTCTGCAAAAAATTCGCCATGTTGATATGGACACCCCCACTTGATGACCGACAGAAAATGAATCCGTCTCTGAGAATTCCGCCGAACCTTCGAGTTCACTGGAGGACTTACCTCGTGTTGAAGCTCTTCTGGGTCTAGCTCTGCAATCGCTTTGACGACTTCTTCGAGATTTGTCGCGTGCCTGAGCTCTCTGAGGCAGAGGCTCCCGTCGATTTCGAAACCGTAGGACCTGTACACAGCTAGACGGAATGTTGTGTCCAAGAGCTTCTCTTCCTTTTCGAGAGTCCGATACCCAGGCGGGAGGAAATTCTCTTTCGCGATGAACTTGACATTATCCAGTATTTCGGTGATATTCCGCTCGTATGCCCGAACAAGGAGATTCCTCGTAGAGATTTTGTAGCTACGTAAGGATCGGAGCTCCTTCTCATGAAGATTCCTTCTCTGATCGTGCAACGAGAAGCCAATGACCATCTGTAGGAAGGATTCACCCACGAGACGGTACCGTCCGATATCCAACTCATCGACGGACGTCGTAGGCTTTGAGAGAATTCTCACGAAATCGGCTGCCGACGGTCCTTCGCAATCATTGAGATCGGGATAGACGAACTCGAGCTTCAGATGTTTCAGGCTGATTTCAGTTCTTCTGAATTCCCTCCGTTCCGCTCGGATCTGAGCAGGCTCCCATCGATGATTTTCATTCGCAGGACCAATGCCCGTAGCCCGCGCGATCGTTCTGCGGAGCGTCTCACAGACGTGGAATCTGTTCAAGCGATACAAAATACTCGGTAGACAAACAGCTCTCCGCCACAGATTTGCTTTCATTTTGTGCACAACCACGAATTGGGCTGGGACGTAGGCGAGGGATCGCACAGCCTTCTTCGAGCCTCGGTCGGAAGATTCGGCGGAAGGGAAGAGCATCTCTAAACTGCTCTCAACGCTCTCCAGCTCCAGAATGGGCTGATCTTCGTTTGTGGGCACATTCGGTCTGCAACGCATCTGCTTTCCTCCGAAATATTCCAAGAAGTTGAGATCCCTGCGAAGAAACGCCAATTAGAAAAAATCAGAAACTGTCATCGTCGAAATTCGAATGATTATTCGTGGAGGATGAACGACTTTCTCGATAATAATAATCCACTCACGGAGCGAATGGGAAGTATCCAGACGCGGTTAGAGACAATGGTTTCCCGGCGGCGTCGGTGGCGCACGGGTTGCGCACGTAATATCTGTTAAAGTAGTCTCTGGGACCACGTCCTTGCACGTTCCGGTTGACAGGAGGTGCATTTTCATTCTCATGGAACAAAACTTCAACGACGGCGTCTTCGTAGAGTTCTTTGTCGAAGATGAAGCGCTCATAATCCGGCTGGGTGGCTACACCGACACTCTGGGCGACTCGCAAATTGATCTCGAAGGCTTCGTCTCCCAGCTCGTCGACGGGCACAACGCATGGTACCGCGAAATTCGTCAAGGGCTTCGTAGCGCTGCACCCGATGTTCAGAACGACGGAGAAAATGTACCGATTGAAACGAGCGAAAGTCGCCTTCTTACTCTGTGACATCGACACCGTGCCCGCGTAAACGACATCGATCAGCTGTTCACTAGACTCGGTGAATATCGGAAAACGCGGAAGATTTTCCAGCTGTTCATCTCGATTTCTGACTAGAATTCCAAGATAAGTCGAACCCTGAGGGCCGTCAGCAGGACTTTTGGCACCCGTACTCCTCGAAGAGGATTTCTCGAAAACGCTGTTCTTGAACACGTAGAGATGGCACTCGTCGATGCATCCGCAATCCCTGTTCTCTTCCAGAATCTCCAGGGGCGGTGCAATCGCACGGCGGTTCAGATATTGCCGGGTTTTGTGGCGCGTGTCTGGACATCTTGTCATTTTCTGCAGAGAAAAGTCAGCTCGCCGTTACGACTCGACTATCAAGCACGTACGATATGAATGAAATCTCGGTATTTCCTGCAGTGATCTTACCGGTCGGATTTCTTCGAGAATGGTCCTGTCTTCGTCGGACATCCAGGCGGAGCTGTATCTTCCAGTGGTCAGTTTTCTTGGCAATAGATGCTCGGTGAGTTCGCGTTTTTCGTGGAGTTTCCGACACATTTCCAACGCGAGATAGGCTTTAGCTTTGGCTCTGGTCGGCATTGGTCTGTCCTCGTTGGTGATACTCTCCCGAACAGGACACAGCAATGGCATCGTCAGAGACATCGTGAAACCCTCATCGTTCTTGTCGAGCGTGAAGAACTCCGGGAGGCTATTCGAGTATTGGTCATGAACGATGGTCTGGCAATACCAGCAGAGGATGCTCATTGCGGATTTCGCGCTTATCCTCGCCTCACCAGCGATGAACGGCTCCAGAAACTCATCGTCACGGAGCACTGTCTCGCTTTCTTCAGCATCGGGTGAACGACGAGTCTGGTCGCAGAACGTGGTCACGATTCTCTCAGTTTCCTGGAAACTATCGATCATGTCCTCGACTTCGAGACGTTCATTCTCGTCGCACAAAACCACATATAAGGATTGTCGGGCGCGCGCACGGCCCTTCGACTGGGTGTAAGACCGTGCGTCGCGAGGCGCATCGAAACGAACGACGAGGTTGCAAGCCGGTACATCCATGCCTTCTTCGATGACGTTGGTCGCCAGCAGCAAATTATAAACTCCGTCTCTGAACGCGGCGATGGTCCGACGTTGTGCTTTAGAGTTCATTTTGAAATTCTCGAACTCCCTATTCGACGTGGACATGGGGGCTTGGTTGTGGCCAACGATGAATGCACAACGAAGAAATCTCCAGTCGTCTGTCTTAGAGAGTTCTCCCAGCCATTGATACAATACGTAGGCAATAACCCGCAATTTCACGAATACGATCCCACAGAGGCCCGCAGGATTGGTCCTGAACGCCGCTAACACCTCCAGCAGACGATGCATTTTAGGAGGTACATCCAGTAGGGGCGGCGATTTGCCCAAGAACTTCTTCATACGCTCGAGGATCTTCATCTTGGGCATCAAGTACTCGCGCAGCTCCTCTGGATATTGCGAGTCGCCGACATTCCTGGACAGCTCGCGCTGCCGGAATTCGATAAGTCTGAGCGTACAGAACGCCCCGCATTCCTCGTAGCATGAACTGAGACCGGAGAGGATCTTCTGGAAATCCTTGAGGTCGTCACAATCCTCCAAGTCTTCCATCGACGAAGCATCGATCGGTAGGCGATTATGCGGGTTGCGGCTTGGACACGATACAATCATCTCTTTAGGCTTAGTGCAATACATTGATACGAGCCCGCTCGCAGAGCTCGCAGTCGAGAACAATGTGGCTTCCAGCTCGCGAATCCTCCTGGTCACCTGCACTCCGCGGAGCTGGAGAATGTATGCAGCAATTATTATAAATTTTAATTATTCTGTATTTCATATTATTCTATTCAATGTGCTTTCTATTTCCACAGATTGGAGCTCGGTACGTGGAATTGCAATCGAGACGCAATTACGACCGAGGAGACAGTGGGATTCCAGAGAGCCCAGATCTCCTCGGGTAGTTCGCGTGAGGCTCGAACCCCTCGCTTCTGCATGGATCGTCGGATGGATCTTGAGCTCGCCGTGGATATTATGTCCCTAAGGCAACACCGGAAGGGAAATACTTGGGAACTTACGGCGGAGTTAATAACGGAGCCGGTCAGTCCGAGGACTCTCGGCCGGTCTTGTGGCTGAAGATCTTTGTACAGTTTCATTATGGACACATAGTTGTCGTCGCCCGTGGCTCGATGGCATTCATCCATCACGATGAGGCTGATTTTATTGAGCGGTATGAAGCCGTGACACGCGGCGTTGTAGAGGATCGCGGGTGTCATCACAAGGACGCCGTGCGCCTTGAGCTCGTTGACCCATCGTTCGCGGGACCAGAGGTCAACCTGTTTAGGAATCTCATTTATTACCATCGTACCGAGAGGGCTTCCATGTTTCACCTTCGACAGTATTCCATGGGTCTCCCATTAGCTATCGGACCATACCTGCATTGCGCCAACGTAAATTCCAACCTTCACGCTCAGGTGTCGTCCGAGCACAGCTCCCTGCTGTTCGACCAGCGGGACTGTCGGCGCCAAAAATATCGAACGCTTGCCTCCGGATCCCGGAGTCGCTGGCTCTCCATCGACCCAGCACCCGGATACTTCATGTTCGAGATGTTTCAATAGAAGCACCGATATATAGGTCTTGCCTGTGCCAGTGCCCAAGCACACTATGGTATTTCGTTCCTTTGCGGATTTGAACAGCTCGATTTGATACGATCTAGCACGTTCGATACGTGCTCTCGCATCGGCGGCTTCTAAGCTTTCGTCCTGCAATCGGGGTGGTTTGATTTCATTGGTGTCATTATTCGACCTGATGCAGTCAGAAATAGGTTGACGTTTGCCTGAATGCGAGCAATGGGAAATCCGATCGGATACGATTTCCGTCTCGTGCCGGAGTTCTCGGATCGAGAGTCTCACCATTTTGTCCCTATCTGCCATGCTCCTTGATCGAGCTGCCCGGGCAGGGGTCTTCTTTCATGAAGATTTAATCATCGTACGGTCAGGATTTTCCCATGGGCCTCAGAGCGACTACGGCTCCTGGGATCACACGGGAGCACAAATCCTCAGATCGAAGACCAGACTGACCAGCTCCTCGAACTCGATCATCGGTATGTCGGGCACTGATTGCTAATCCGCGTGAACATCGAAATTTATATTCTGATCATCATGTGAGACGCAAAATCGAACACCAACTATAGCAGACGAAGGTTTTGCCTCTCCTTGTAGAAACAACACAATAACAAACCCACGAGCTTTCTCTCTCTCACTGCTCTTTTTCGAATCAATGGGGTGAGAGAAAGCTGCTCAATGCAACAATATGGTCACCACAAATGATCTCGCACCGCCGCGGGTCCATTCATCCCGATCAGGGAAACGACAACATCAGAAGTTCGAGACGATGATCAGTCCAGAGACCGACCTCGGCAGTAAAATTCCGGACAAAAACGCCGACCATCAGCCCAGCTGTGGTGCTTCTTCGTGATCTAGGTTGCATGTTTCCGAGAGGAACAGTATATATATCTCGGGTGACGATTCTCGAATCTAAGCCAGTCTCCCATACCTTTTCTATTTGATCGCCGAACCTCTTCCATGGAGACACTTGAGAGGTATTCAGTGTGACTCTTGCTCGGCATCACATCTTATGGTGAACGTCCCGGGTTCATGGCTTCGATTGGGCGAATATTGTTTGACATCGAAAACTCAATCGCTCTCAACTCTCAACGCCAGAGATCTGGACAGAATAAATTCCGCGAACACCTGTGCGAGGAGCATTGTGGTCGGACGGTCTCGAGTCGAATGTGTGTCATGTCATGATTAAGCTGGACCCACAGGAACTTTTGCGGTATCTAGAACTCCTCTGAAATGAAGGCCATGACTTCGGAGACAACCTGTCGAATTTCATCGCGAGGTTTGATTTAGTAGCTTGCCGGGGATGGGTTTTGAGTTTCGAGGTTCCCGAATAGAATCAAATCAGGGATAGTCGCATCATTTTTAATCTCGCTTTTTCTGCGAAGAGGTCTCCAGGGAAATATCGCAGCATGTCGGTCCTGGTAGCTCTTGTCTCGAGACCTGGGATAAGGCAGAGGCGCGAACGACTCGTTCTCCTGTGAAGCGCTCGGGAGGGATTAGCGGTTTGGATCCCGTCATTGTCGAGAGCGAAACGTCACCGCGTAGTTCCTTGGCGGTTTCGGTGGCTTGGGACGCGATAAGGCTGCTGACACGCTCGATTGAAGATACCGTTTCATAACTCGTAAATTCAGACGCTTTATTGAAGACTTCCTACTCACAGTTTGGCTTGGTGTTCTCAGATTTAAACTTATAATGTAGAAAACCATGCACTTCGAGTCACTCTGGCCCTCGGATGCTGACCTTGTCCTCGAGGCCAGAGCTCTTGATAAATCAAGCTCCGGATCGAGGACTGTTCACAGAACTAACGGACTTCTCCAAGATCGACGTTTCCAACCCATTCATCTATTCATGTTCTCTTCGTCTCTTATTTTTGGGATCGGGGCGGTGAGGCGCTATAACCATCCACTCGTCGTTGCAATAAACATTCAATTGAGTTTCCGACCCTCAAAAGTTTGCCTCTCTCTTCAGTATCACGCAAATGGCTGTGGCATCACCTATCGAGGTTGAGCCGTATCACACATTCACATTCGCAAACATTCGTACGCATGAGGGATCCCGGTGACCTGCTCGCATGCAGGCACTCTCGTACCCATCTACCTACCCATCACGCAGGCATGCTTCGGGACAAACCCTTGAGTACACAAATGAGCTCTTCGGAGTAGCAGATACCCGAACGCACGCTTTGAGGATCTCGAATAGCTCCGAGCATGTAAGAAACACCCAGACATACCGGTGAGCTCAAATATGGTACATGTGAGAATTGAGGCTCGAGGGAACGAACGGGTACGCACGTATCGGATAGAATCTGGAGGTACAAATGCGCGCGTACGATCCTGCCGAAAATAGTTGATGATATTATTCCCGTCGTGCGCGAACCAGAATGTCTCAGGGATGCTGCTCGATTCATTGGAGTCCCGATCCAGTAGCGGGTGAAATGGTGTATCTACCACATGTGATGACGATGAAGGTTCCGACTCAATATCGATCGTACGTCCGAACAAAATCTCAAGGCATCTAGCACTGGAAGAAGATTCAACAAGGCTGTGTCGTTTGGATCATTGAACCAACTCTTTATAGGAATCGCGTTATCCGGGAAGAGCTTGTAAGCCGATGGCGAGTTGTCGAGGATGAAGACACTGCTGAGATCCGGGTTGATGGCGCACAGGTCTTTGGTATAGCCTCCGTAGTCGAGCGTACAGTGCTGCCGGAAGAATCTTCTCCTCATGACTCCGCGGCCGTTATCCAGCCGATCAGCTACAGCTGCTCCGTATATTTCCATGGACGCAGTGAACACGACTAGTTCGTACCACTGTGAAACTACTTCCAGAAAGTAGTCTACGTGAGGTCGTTTGTGTACGAAGAAGCGCACGGGATGACGTTCGATGGTGACCTTGAGCACGAAGTTCGGGGGGGTGCCGGAAGGCACTGTCTGCCGTAGCATTCCATCGTGGTATGAGTGTATCAACGTCTCATCCAAGTCTAGAACGAGAACCTTCCGCTTGACCAAACTCAACCGATGTTTGGACAGGGGTGATAGGGGCAGGTTCCGATACTGGACCGTTTGATGTTGGCTCACGGCGAGGAATTGTCGTCTCAGAAGATAACAGAGAAACGTCCAAACTCTAGCGGTTCGCAACAAAAATGCACGCAACGCAATGCGGACCCGTTTGAGCATGATGATCTTGTCCTTTTTGCTTTACCGCCGCCGCTGCTGCTGCTTCCGCTGCCGCCGGTGGCCTGACCTTGTTGCCTGAATACGCTCGATTCTGAATCGTTGATGCTGCAGCCGTCAACCGGTGCCTTGTGTGTAGAGGGCTGTTATATCACTTATTCTGTTCTCTTGCTTTACTTGCTCGACGTGAGTGAGCGTTCGTTCGTTCTGAAGCGGGTCGTTTCTCACATACAAAATCACACACTTCTGGAGTTATGATAACTTGGAATTCCTCAGGAACGGCGGAATGGAGGAACGGCGTTCCTGTCGGACAGAGGAACGCTATACCTCGAGCATACCTTCCTGAGGAACGGCGGGGAACGCGGAGGAGCGCAACCTAATGAAGTATCCTGAAGTGAAGTTCGTTCATAGACGGTTGCAGACGACTGTTTTGCTAGGCAATGATGACGGTGATCGCTGCTTGGGAAAGACGAAATCCGAGAAATTGCCGCGTTCGAGGGATCTTTACGCTGCGCCGACGCCTCGTAGCTTTCTCCCATCCTTGCGCTCGATCCTAGGAAATCGTCAGCTCGCAGGTGCAATCGGGTCTCCCGGGGGAATACCGAGTCTCTCGCCTGCAGACGAGAGGTCCGACGTTCGAGGACGTTTGCATCTTCTGGACGGATGCTCGTCAGATGAATGATTCTGTGTGGAGAAGACCTAGATAACTGAGTCCCCGGACGACCACGCCCGACCGCGTTTCATTCCCGTAGCTGTTCGAATTCATCACCGCCAAGTTTCGGAATCTTCGGAATCTCAAACAAGAGGGGACTTCTAGCAGTCATCCTGGTCTTATCCAACTCGTGCGCGTCCTATCGGGATGAATCTTCCTGTCGACTTCGTCTCACCCCAAGAAGACCACTTTCGAGTGAGGATGGGATCTAATGCTGCTGAGAGAGCCGGCATGTTCGATGCTACAATTCTCTCCCAGCAGCTACTCCGAGTCCTGCTTGCCTATCTTGGGGAGGTGCGATCCTGATATCTCCCACATCGTTAACATTATTTTCGGAACAGAAAGCATTGGTCGACGCGATGAAGCGAGAGCCTTATCTCACAGCCGCTCCGAACACCAACGTAACTCCGCAATCTTCTGATCGAGTGACGACTGCGAAACGCCTCGGTTCAGACACAGCTCCTGGAGAATTATCGAACCTCATACCGTATCTGAGGCCGGGACGATACCTACGACGCCCGGGACAAACACAATTCTGTCAGCCTTCGTCCGAGACATCATAGAGAATTTCCAATATCTCGATCGAAATTCTGACCCTCTCTCCGGCGCTAAAGAACCTGTCGGTCAGATCTCGAGCTTGTACCTTGAGGCTCCGAGTGAGCTCGAATCTCTATTTCGAAAATGACTCGAGCCCCAGATCGGTGTCTTCCATTCGGCAAGGAGCGGTGAGCGAGTCGGGTGGCTGTTATTTTTCCTTTATTGCAAAATTAAGCGATACCCTCTCGTACATCAAGGCAATGTTCATCTCGATGAGACGGTTCCTCAACAAATGATATATTTCAGAAATCTTCTCTCGCAGCGGCAAGCTCACTCTCAAAAAACAATCCCTCCCGTTTCACCGGAAAACAAAACTCCGACTAATATTCGGTGTCTCGGGCGAAGAGTAAATCGCCCCCTGTGCTTCGCAGGGCACTTCTCCCGGGAGCGCTGCCCTCCATGTCGCTCGTGGAAAACATTAAAGTATTTTTTTCTGTAGGGCGAACTACCTGCGACCTGTGTGCATGCGAGCCGATCTCCTAGTTCTAGGGATTCGCTCGGCGTGTCCGACACCGAAGTCACCGCTTTTCACCGAAGCATCTCCCTTCATCGTCTCATTGTCAGTACGTGCGTCCGGGTCAGAAGGCGCTTCGACCACTTTTGAAGAGCCCTCGACCGTCGAGCTCAAATCCGACTCAAAATCGTTGACATTCGACTCCTTCGAAGTCTGAGCGTTCGAGTTCCTGGCATCATTCCTGAACGAGATGGAAATCACTCAATCGGGGTGTCCCGTGCTCAGGCGTGATGGGGACTACACGAACAGGAGATGCTGGATTCATTCACGATATATTCACGAAGTGGTGCTACATACTCATCTTCTCGAGGAGCGTCCGCAGTTGTGAGGTCCTGGAGAGAGTTCGCATCCTCGCCACCGAAATTCGCGCTCGGATGTTCCTCGCCATTGTCCGTCTCAGTCGGCGACGCATTTTCTTGCTTGCTCGTTTGTTGAGCATGGTACGAGATAGAGTTAGCCGACTCTGCACTCGCGAAGGAAACCGGTCCGTTCTCGAGGTCTGCCGGCAAAACCGTCGAATCACAATGATAACTCATTTGAGTTCCGCTCCTCCGATATCTTCCAAATTCAGACCGGATTAATATTTTGATAATATCATGTAATCAGATACTGACCTCCTCTCATAGAATCTGCCGGAGGTTCTGCATCGGCCGTGTTTTCTTCGTTGAGGTCTGGTCTTCCCGCGTGATGCTGTTGATGCTCGTCCCTCTCGTAAGCATGTGAATCGAACCGACCTCGTTTCATGGGAACTTGCGAAAAATCGTCCTGCTGCATGGAGCTCGAGTCGGTTGGAAGCCGATTGAGATTGTCGGTAGCGTACAAGCTCGTCAAGGGAGAAGACGCCTGCGGAGGAAAAGGATCCATCGGGAGTTTCAGGAGAGGTCTGGATCCTATCTGTCAAGTCTAGAGTTCCAAAAGACCGGAGCACCGGAGCTCCGAATCCTATCAGTCAAGCCTAGAGTTCCAAATGACCGGGACACGGTGATGCTCCGAGTTGTTCTTATCCCGAACAATTTCATGCTTTCGTACCTGATGGTGAAGGAGTGCGGGATGATGGTGATAGTACTTCTCCGCAGACTTGTAATCGTGTGCACGCTCTCGGTATTGAGGTGCTTGCTGGAACTTTTATTTGACGAGTAGTCTCAAGAGAAATGAAAAAGTCCCAGGAGGTTATACACAATAGCGAAAACTCACATTACTGCCGGACTGTGTCGTATATTCGAAGGCCTGGCCTTGCACCCCGGCATGGGGCGGACCTTCGTAATAGACCAATTGTTGATGATTTTGGGATATGTATGCCACGTCTTGGCTCTCACAGGTGGGCTGTTGCTGGACTTCTAGTCGATCAGCCAGCTCCCTGAATTCGATAAAAGGCAATTATCCTCTCTACGAAAAGAGGGGAAACCGAGTATTTGGTCGCCCAGAAGCTTCCGGCCCACCTCTTATGCTTCAATATGTGCTCGTCGAGGTCATCAACGCTACTGCTGAGGTAGTCGTAACAGATTCCGCATTGGAACGGCGCATTGACGGTCTGTTGCTGGCCTCTGTGCTGGTGATGACTCTGTGCTGGATTTGCGCCCCCTGCATGGGATGGCATCCACGACTGCCCACTTCCCGCCGACGATGGATATTCGGACATTCCTGCAATAATCCTCTCGCATTCGCCAAGTATTACACGCACGATGATCGAGACCAGCCATCCCACGCAACAACAACGATGGATTGCAGAGATCAAGCCGCTCAACATGTATCGCCTTTCGCGTTTGCTCCGACGAGCTCGAATCAAGGAACTCCCCGGTTATACCCCCTTTGGACTTCGCTCAACGGACGGATGGATTCCGCGCGTCTTGAGCCAAAATGCGAGTCAAGGACAGTTCTCAACGAGAGATTTGGTGAAATTCAGAGTACAAAGATTCGCACGGCGTCAGGAATTCGAAATCGCATACTCACCGCGTCTCTGGCTCTCGACACGGAGCGACCCACGAGAGGACTGAGTATCCGAGGGTTTCCACACAGAGGCAGCGCCTTGCTCGTCGCCGCACGTATTCCGGTTCAGGAATACCCTCGAGCTGAGATATTGCTTCACAAACGTCTGCTCAGATTGGACTGTGACTTTGTTGTATCCCTCAATAGAAAGATCGTTTCAGAAGAAAGGCATTCGAAATCTTCTGCACGTCATCTGAGAGAGTTGTTTGGACATTCGCAATGTCCGTCGCTTCTCCGAATGTGGTGACACGATACACTTGCAAGTCAAGGTTCGCACGCGCACTTCGCAGCTTTATTCGCTGCCGGTTGAGAATGTCTGACCATAGCCAAGGCGTTGGACGAGGCTGCGAGTACTTCAAGAATCCCGAGCCTGTAACTGAGAGACGGGAAATAGCTACCATCGATTTCTTCGATATTACCGCTCCAAGGCCAAGATCAGATGCCTACAAGCGGAATCTGGGCTTATTGTCTCAAGCTCTCTGACGAATATCGTTTGATGATGCATTGAATTCTACCTAATTCGCTACGCGGCGGCGGAATGAAACCGTGTTAGCACGTCCGAATTCCACCGCTGGCATCATCCTCAAGACTGACGGAACGTGCTATGATATTCTCCTATGATATTCCTTGCGCGCAGGAAAATCCGAGTGAGAATCTTAGCTAATGCTGAATTCCGCTGAGAATCGCAGCGAATAGGGAGTAAGTTTGGAGAGGAATCCATTGGCCGAGGGCGAGCCGCTTCACGAATGAGCGGGACCGGGGTTACATCTTCCGCAATGAATCGACCACGCCGGCTAGACCCCCATGTTTCCCCCGATCAGACTTGAGATCCTTCTCCCGCTTCGAGCGCTTTCGCGCGCACGAGAGTCTGTCAACTCCGACGCGTGTCAACTGACGAATTATCACAATTCACTTGAGAATTCCAACCCCCCATGATCCATGATGCTCGAGGTGGATTATCGAGGTATGCATCATTTTCTCTGCGATAGAGTCAAAGATGACTCCACATCTCCACTTCTCATCGTGTGTCTCCATCGGTCAAGCGTCCAGCAGTGTCGCAGCGGTATCTTCTCTCGTACTCTATCTGAGCTGTGTCCCCTGTGCTGGGAGAGAACCCGGGTATCGAAATTGTGCGGTCCGTACCCGGACTGCTCCAGGGACCGCGAGCCTCTTTCGTCCGCTTCCGACGATTGCAGAGTCGACAGATCGCTTCAGGTCGTCGTGAGCACTTTTCGAACGCAGGTCTCGCAGAATCCGCGGTCTTGCGGTGCTCAACACTCGGCTCTCGAGTTTCGCTCTCATCGTCAATCATTCTCGAAAGACTCAAAGACCGAGAAACGGCGGAGCACCAATACATCGATTTCTCATCACCTGCACCTCTTGAGTCCGTTTCTTCCCACGATATGACGGTATCTCCTGTAGACATACTGCCATGAAAAAATGACGGAGATTTGTCCGGATAGGGATCGGAGCTTGGGGTGACACTCTCCCGGTGGAACAATCCGAGCAAGAGACCTGCCAAATTTCGTCAATTTCTGAAGCTCCTCCTCGATCAGACACAACAAGCGTGCGTCGAGACTCGAGACCGACGCGACTCTTCCAGAATGGCTGCCGTTCTTTGGTACACATGGTTATGGGAGTTCGCTCGACGGTTCTTCAGTCTCTGTTCTCTCTTCTAGTTCCGGCTTCCAGCGGGATTGTCCGCTTACACTACTAGAGAGCGAAGACTGCTCGACTAACGAATCCACGCGTCATTATGGAACGCGGCGAAAACAATCTCTGAAATATGAGTTCCAAATATGTGAGTTCTAAGACCGGAAAAAGTGCCATTCCAAGGCTCCATTTTATTTGCGGATTCTTCTCATGATTCTTGGATGGCGTCAAACAAAGTTTTTTCTCCCGTCTCCCTCGCCGCATGGGAGTCCCTCTCACGGCTCCTAAGCGGTCGCTAGCCTTCTTCGTGAAGACACGGCTCTGAAAGCGTTCTTGGCCGTTTGAGCCCGACTTGCCCTGCTTTAATAAGTGCTTACAGTTCCTCACCCCGATGAGTCTGCAGGACAAAGTGTACATTGTGACCGGTAAACTCCCGGGAGGATTTATCCTCGAACCCCTCTCGAAGTTTTCTTGGAAATAATCTGGCGCGAGTCTCCTCTGGGGTTGACCGATTTCATTCTAATGATGAGTGTATCCATCAGGCTCCAGCTCCGGAATAGGGCGGGCGACCGCCTTGGAGATCTGTCGCCAAGGAGGGAGAGTTACCTTGCATGGGCGCGATGCGAGTAAGCTCCAAGGTGTTGCAGATGAGTGCAGCTCGCTCAATCAGATCGAGGTATGGTGAGAACAATTTCTATGGTCGCCCCACACGGCCGATTGCCTTTGAATAAGATGGAGCGGATCTGGGCTTTCTAAATGAGAATTTATCCTCTCCGAATTACAAAGCCACCTCAAATCGTCGGAGACGTAACTGATCTGGAGATCCAGAAACGACTCGTCAATGAAACGATTATCCGCTACGAGAAACTCGATTGTCTCGTGAACAATGCAGGCAATTCATCCTCCTACGGTGGCATCGATGGAACCTCGCTTGAAGATTTACGGTAAGAATTGAGAATTTCGCCGGGGAATACTTTCAGCTGACGGCATGCGTTTCGCCTGCTGAGCCGCTGACAAGAACCAAGTCATCAACTCGTTGTTATCAACGGCCTTAATGCCGCGCAAATCTGAGCGAATGAAATCGAAACAGACGGGGCCGGGGCATTGAGCGAATGATGTGTGATGTGGTCAGCAGTGGAGAGGAGCATCACTGCAATGAGCAGCATGATGCGAGTCTCAAAGACAGCACGGAAGGAAAAACGAGACAGCGGAATGTCGGGACTGGACGGATGACAGACATGTTCCGGTTCCGGATCATCGCAAGAAAGACAAATAATGCAGAAAATGCTCCCGGACTTTCGATTCTGCAATTTTCGGTCATAAATATGGGTATAGGTATATTTATATATATATTTCCGCCCGGAGGTCCTTAAATCCAAATCGAGAGTCTGTGATTTTCTTCACGGGCGGATGAGTCCTGAACGGGGAGATAAAGCTCCCAACGTTTCCCTAGCTCTACTTTGGAAGTGCACTGCGTCGCTCCGTTCAGTCTGGCTAAGCTCGCGACCCCACATCTAGTGAAGTCTCAGGGCTCCATCGTGAATGTCTCGTCCGTCCTTGGACAAGCCGCTGTGAGTGATTTTCTTCCCGTGAGACTGATTCGCGAAGCTGATCGAAGATTGGGAGTTATACCTTCAAAACACTGTAACGAAATATTTATTTCCCAATATTCCCAGTCAAACGTCGTCATATCCTACAGCGCGGCGAAGGGAGCTCTCGACTCACTCACTAGAGCTCTCGCCGTGGATTTGGGACCTAAAGGTGTCCGTGTGAACTCAGTGAAGTGAGTACCTGTATATATCTATATCCTTCCATCCACGAGGAAGTATTTACATATGTTGTTCCCAACGAGTTTCGCCCTTAAGTTCCTGATCTCACTTGGGCCAATTCTCGCCCTCGCAGCCGAAGAGAGAGGCCGACCGTAGTCAATCGTTTTATGGGTTCAGACCACATTCATTCTCCTTCTGCTTTCGCCGTCGCTGTTTCCATGATATAATCACCGACGCGATCCCGATAAGATTACCTAATGTTGACGTCAGCAGATAGACCCACAGACTGCTTTCCGACAGTGCTAGTCATCGTTACACCTTTTATCGCTTGTGGCTAGGAAGCGATATGTCGTGCATCTTATGTCGATTTCTATGACTTTTGTGTCAACAGGGAAGAAGATGGTGGTCCCCCACAATATCTTCAAACTAGATACTGATAGCTTGCTCACGCAAGCCTTTCTTTCACTAATGATTTTCTGTGATCATTTTTCCAGCCCCGGGGTCATTCAAGACACCGACATTGGCCGCGTTTCCCGCACCGCTTTCGACGCGGTAGGTCTTGGGCAATAGAAAATACATTAACTTCGCTCAATCACACTACCCGTTTGGCTCGACCAAGTATCCGAATTTTCAGGGATATTCGGCGAATATCCCTGAAAATTCCAAGGAGCTCCCGCCGGAATGGTGGAGAGCACCAGCTGTTTCCTTTGACTTTTCTGCTGGCGATCTTCGGAATCCTTCGCGCTCAAGGGTCTCGCATTCAGGGACCGATGATCCGAGCCCTAACTTGGGAAGCTCCCCATGATATCTCGCCAAAAGATAGGGATCTCGAGTTGAGAGATCTCTTCTTTGTTCATGTTCTGCTTCGGGGCTTCATTTGTCTGTGGAGTTAAGGAGAATTTCCGTTGTTTGCAGTTTTGGATGACGCCCGATAGATACCCATTGAACCGTGTGGGGAAGTCGGAAGAGATCGCCAAGGCAATTATCCACTTGTCAACAGCAACGTTTACGACGGGGGAAAATTATCGGGTTGATGGCGGTCTTCTGGCCGGATGTTACTGGGCTACAAACATGTAATCTCCGCAAGGATTGTCCTGGAAAATTCCTGCGAGGATACAGCGAATATTCGAAATAAACAGGCAGCCGATTCCCGCCAGTTCAGAGTCGACTCTTGATGATATCCGATAAAAGAAATATCTGCTGCTGGTTAGGGCAATGAAGAGTCTCCTCGAGGAAGGGACGAGAAATGTATTTCAATCGCTTCATTACTTGAAAAATAGTCTCAGTCTTCCGAGCTGCGGGAGATCACTCATCGTCGGAAGCCTCTTTTGAAGAGAGAGAGTTCGCTCTGCGGCGCCGTACTCTTCCGCTTTGTTGTTTTTCCTCTTCCTTCCCGAGGTCGCTGGGATCTTTCCCACGTCTCATGGGATTCATTTTTCGAGGGGAACTGTTAGTTTTCTTCGCTTTCCGCTCTTGGTTTCTTGCCGCCTGCTGTGGGGAGCGAAACGTTAGCAATATATCGTGGAGACCTCCATCACGGATCTTAAGATTGAGTTCCGGAGCTCATTCACTCTATCGATTTTGATCGAGTGCTCGGCGCGTCGACCACCTTGCGAAGATCGCTGAAGTCTTTGCGCTGCTTGTCACGGATCTTCTCGAACAACATGTCTCCATGTTGCCTGCCGATGTCGAGCACTCGTCGGAAGTCCTTCTGCGACAGTACATTAGACAATTGTTTTTCGAGGTCATCGATGCGGAACTCGAGCTGCTGACGACGCGTGCGATTATTCTTGAGATCCTTGCACATCAGCTGGAAGGAGCACTTATCCAGCAGGTGCGTGACTTCCTTGGTGTGACGTATTTCTGGGATAGTCTTCGTGGAAAGAGAAAACGAAGTTCTGTCACGCCTCCCGACTCGATTCGAAATTCTATCGGAAGGCTTTAGCGATGGCAACCAGAGCTGCATCTCCGAATGACGATCGATCGTGGGGACTTGTGACTCACCACCCAATAAATTTCGGGGATGAGCCCAGCATCACGGCATCTGCGAAGGAAGTTCTCGGTGTTGACGAACTCGGCGCTGAGCTCGTTCGCCCTCACGAAATCCTTGATGAGGCGCACGGTACGCCAGCCGTACCTCGATCGAACCTGGTTGTTGAGATCATTCAGGGACCAGTAAGTCGAAACACTGTCCCGACGACGAGACCTCGTCGAAGCGTTGGAGCCGACAGAAAAACTGCGTTGCCTTTGAGGTCTGGATCTCGATCGAGTTCGCCGCGAGATGTCTGTAATCGATGTGAATTCAAGATTTGGAGATGGACCGAATCGAAATCGGGATCTCCATCGAAATACCGATCCCGCAATCTGTTCCCCATTAATTCTCCGCCGACCCTTCTGGCCTCGCTCGACCCGTTGGGGAGTGTTCTAATCCGACAATTGGCGCACCCAAAACCCTCGAACTCCGAGCTCCCGATTCCGGCTGACGGGGGAGGAGAGACCTAGTCGTGATAATGACACGTGTACCCACTCACTCGCATCGGGATCGGTCCTGCCTTTACGGAAGTCTGACTGGCGTCCAGATCCTTTACACATGTTCGGTCTTCGCAGGTCTTGTTCTAAATACCGCATCGAGCCGGTAGCAGCATGCATCTTCACTCCCGCAGAGGCTCACCTGAGCGATCGGCAAGCGCTAACTACAGTGCTCGTTCTTAAAATGGCGATCAGTATGTATATAGGAATCGGGGATTGGACACACAGAGATGCGCGCGTCTCTCGCGATCGGCGACACACACATATTGTACTGAATGCGCGCGCACGCATGACCGGGGCTTCCAGAAATTTGAGAATATCGAGCGAAACGGGTCCGCCCCATTCTCCAGCGGAATTTCTGCTGAATGAATAAGCTGATGAGTGCTGCGACACGGGGATATGAGAAATCGGGAGCCCTTCGGTCTTCTTGCCAGCAATGCATCGATCGCATGGAACTTGAAATGAACTTTGACCGTTGTGTCGAGAGCGGCCCCTCCCGTGAAATCTGATGTCGGGAGGGGGGGCAATGAGCTAGCTGACAGAACACACCGACGGGAGAGTGAAGCGCCCTCTCTAGCAGGCATCTCAAGATTCGACACACGTTTGGGGATTGCTCCTTAGACAAATTTATTGAAGCTGCAGACCCGAAATCATCGAGTTCTTCCGGGATCCGGTGTTGCAATCAATTCTTCATCTAGTCCGAAGCGGGAGCGGTGCTCGAGTCGGACCCACTGCGACTTTTCCGTTCGCTATCCTGGCGGCCGCCCCTCCTCCAACGACGGCCTTGGCCGGCGTTTTTGGGGCTCCCTGGACTCTGCGACTTGCTGTCACCGGAACCGTTTCCGTAATGGGAAACGTTTTTGTTCGTGAGCTGCGGGAAGACACAGTGGAGAACATTATTTGGTGGGGAACATCGTTCTTCTCCATACAGGGGACCGAGTGAGCGCGGCAATAAGTGAGGAAACGCATTCTCCGCGGGAGTCGCCGGTTTCCGACAAAAAACCATCGAGTCACTCATTTCGACTTCTGAAGACGTAATCAGCGATTTCTATTCCGGAACAGAGCGCACTCTGACCATAGAGCTCGTACCTTTTGCAGGCGAGCGAAGTTGTCTCGTTGACGTTGACGAACAACATGGAACATGTCGTTGAAATGCGCGTCCACGAGCTTCAGAAGTCTTGTGAAATCCCTAGCGGAAAGCTGAGTCTTGAGGTACTCCTTCGACTTCGCGATCGACCGCGAAAGAGTGTCCGTCGCTTTCTTGTGCATGCGGATGTCTTCGAGCATCAATCTCGAGGCGCATTGCTCGAGGAACCTGAGTACTTCCCGGGTCTTGCGCACCTTATCGGCGTCCTGCAAAGAACAACAGGAGCCATTTCAGGAGTCCAGAGGACGAAACGAGCTCCATCCGGGGGAATCCATCGTATTCGATCTGTCGACGGCCGTCGATCCGCCCGATTCGACTTACCACCCAGTATTCAAAGGGGATCATGCGATGCGCGGCGCATCTCATCAGGAAATTGATGTTGTTCATTTCTACGGCGTTTTCGACCGTGTCCTTCACGTACGAATCGACTGTAGACATCACTTTCTTGTTGTAGACACCTCTCAGTTTGTCGGTGAAGCTCGACAGAACAATTTTCGGGTTCTGCCAGTGCTGATTATTGTTGTACGACGAGCCCATCGAGTTGCTACGACGCCTTGAGGATGATCGCCCTCTCGAAACCGAGCGAGTCCTGGAGTTGTAACGCATCCCGGAATCATGGTAGTAACCGGAGCCCGGCACATTGTCTGGAAATATCGCGGAGTTCAGGCCGAGTTTCGACTTGAGAGGAACCGCAGCGGGAAAACTACAAGTCATCTGAGCGGATGTCAAACGTGATGCGAGCGCGCCGGAATTCTACGTGACTCGGATTACTCACCGCGACTCTTGCTTCGCTGACGGCTATTGCGATAATTGCGATAATCGTAGGGGGAATTCATCGCCGCCCGCTCTAGATCAGACACAGTTGTCACCGGCATTTCGATGCTGCACGAGGTCGTGGCGTCTTCGGGGGTGGCTCGCAGGAAAGTGTCTGCTTCGAGGAGCTGAACCTCGCAGTGGAACGTCTCGCACGTCGCGCGCGTGAACGTGACAGCCGCGTCTATATTGATCGGCTCCGAATAAGCCTCTCCCTTGAATTTCCAAAGGTTTTCGAGCCTTCTCAAAAGCGTATTCATCGGGAATGATTTCCCTCTTCAATATCTGATTTGTCCGAGCTGCAGGTACTTTGCGGGCCCTCGTTCGGACAGGTGATGGCAAAACTCTGCCCCGAAGCGTTCCCTGGAAGATGAGCTCTGGATCGTCAGGATCTCGAGGAGAAACTCTCATTTTCGCCATCCAATTCCTTCGAATTGTTGGCAATTTTTTCGTGAACAAGCTCCGGTCAGAGTGAGAATTACGCATTGGAAATCAGAACCGAAGCAGCGTTCTCTCCGGTGACGTAATTCTCGACTGTCCTCTCACGCGACCACATCCATCTCGCCAAACGATAGCTATCTCCCTCCGCGATCTTCTGCACATGAGGGTTCAACTCGACGCAAGTTCGCGAGTCTTCAGGCGTTATGCGAGGGTTGCTCCGGTGCTCTTGGCTCGAGAAGCGCAGTGAAGAGGGCGAGAGATGCCTCGGATGGTTTGTTCGCACCAGCCGCTTCTTTCGCGATCGTTCTGTTTGAGACGCTTCCATGAATCGATTTCGAACGGTATAAGGGGAGACTGCTCAGTCAGGAGCTCCATTCGATCGGAAATACTTTGTACTCAGACGCATGCTCTTTTTGCTGAAATGGCAATCTTCAGGAAGTCATTCTTAGTCATACTAGCCTGCTTCTTGGTGTGCGACGCTCTTTTCCTGAGCCCCTTGGCCGGTGTGATACCAGTTTTGGTCGGCGGGAAACTCATCCTCATCAAGAAAGCCTTGATCATCAAAACCGGCGCGATCGGGTTGCATCTCGCTGGCGCCAGCTTCCTCAGGGAGAAAGTCCGTGCCGCGGCGTCCCTTGCTCGCGCCATTGGTGAATACCGTTCGAGTTCCGCGCTCATCGAAACTCCCGGGAGGTTTTTCCAGGCTCAAATGGACGCATTGGGGAGAATCGTGAATCCTCCAGAGATGGGGCTTCCCGACCTGTCGAAGGGCCTCGGAGAACCCGATTTCGAGCAGAGGATCGAAATTCCCACGATACCAGTTCCTGAGGTCGAATGGGTGCGGAAGTATGTTGACGCTCCCAGGCTCGTTCTCCAAAGATCCCCGGACGCGAGCGTCTCGATTCGGAAGCACATCGGACCGGCCTACGCTCCCGAGCCTGTACTGGAGCCAGAAGTGAGCCCCGTTGCTCGTCCCGAATATCGATAATTATAAGTTCATGAAGGTCAGCGTGTCGGATCATTCCTGTAATATAAAGAACTAGAATAAATTCACCAGCTGGTTGTAATATCGTCTAGAGTCTAGTGGTTCAGCTAGCGTTCACTGTCTGCGTGATTGCCTGTGGACATTTCTCTCCGAATCGCGTTGCTCCCTCATTTAGACTCCCGAAAGCGACTCGATCCTGAGCCGCCCTCCAAGGGTTGTCGGCGAATGATGGAGTTTTCTCCTAGTTTTCCTCTCGTCCGAGAGCTCAGTCAGATAAGTCCCAAGCAAGCACCCGTCGCGCGTCGTAAGGAACATCTATAATAGTCAAACAGCCGATGCGTCACGTCAGCCCCGATCGCTTCGAGATTCATTTTTTACTCAGGCTACTCCTCGAGACTAACGGGACGGCCAGTGTGGAGTCGTTGCTTCATTGAGCGTCTGATCGCACAGAGCTGTCGCGGTTCACGTATCACGACGGAGAGCTCCTCGAGTCTTAGAATAAAATCAGGTGCGCAATCGACATCGGACGATCAGGTGATGAATAAGGACTCATTTCTTACGCCCCGCTCCATGGAGAGTCCATTGCGCCACTCTCGGGAAAAGGGCGATCGCCCGAATGAGGGAATGGTGCAAAGTCCTCCCTAAACGGATCTCGCCGTCTTGAACCTTTGCCGGATCCTGAACATACCTGACGGGATCCCTTCGACATATCACTTCTGCTTATGAGGAAGCTCATTCCCGTGGACGACAGATTCTCCAGCCCCGCGTCGACTCGATCATATTAGGTATTTACGAATTTCGACAGGGTAGCACGTTCTGGGTCAGAAAGGAACAAACAACATGGAGCTGGTGCTACGTCAGGATTACGTGGTGGTCGACTCCACGAAGCGCGAATTTCTTCAGATGAGACGAAGGACGAGCAAGCGCGGCCCGGGGACTCTTCGATTAAGATAGGTGCACCGCGAGGAAGTTTCAGCTCGAAATCATTATGAAATGAACGGAGTATTGGGAGTACACTCGAATCGTTTCAAATGAATGATGATAGCGTGACCAAAATTTTTTGAGCACTTGCTGGGAGCCAATCCTAACATCGAGAGTAATTCCATCGCGGATCCACGGGAATGATGCCGGACGTTCCCCTCAACGCAGTCTTACGTAAGGGTCTGAGGAAAGATGCGATCCGCTGGGAGTTGCGCAATCGCAGTTGGGAGGTTCCGGTGATCGTTTCTCCACATTATGTCAATGCGTTGAAATCTCAGAGCTATCCACGACGAAGAGATCGACTCATGTGTATTGGGAGGCATAACGGGTATCAATCGCAGATTCAATCCGACTGCCGCGGGGGTAGAGCAACTCGAACAGCAACTCCGATGACCCGCGATCGTCGCGGGGGTTCTGAGCCCTTTCCTCCCAACTGCCGGCGATTCAACGAGAGTCTTTGTTCACAGCGTTGTCACGGACGGAGGTGCCCGTCGCGTCACCGGTTGCAGAAAACACACATCTCGCCCACTCAGTACACCACGCAATCAGCACACAACATTGAGAGAGATCAAGTCGGGAGCGGGTAACAGGGTTTCATAAAGAATGTTTCGATATTGCGGATAATCGGTTATCTTTGTCCAGGACAAGCAGTCCTATTTATAGTGTAGGCATCAATATCAATAAAATCACTGGAGTGCGCGCGCGCCTAGGTACGTCCCTCGGCGCAGCGCCGGCTTCTCGAGAACCGTGCGTCAGCTGGTTCACGTCAGCTGATTCTCTATCAGCCAGTCAAAAGCAGAGAGGTGTTGAGAACACTGCGGCAGCCACAGTGGCGACAGTCGCGGAGAAGTTGGAAGTTGACCGATGGTCGATACAACAGTAGTCACGACGATATAGCCCACGAGCCCTTCGAAGAGTTCAGTAATCGGGTTCAAATCCCGCGCAGTCAACAAGTTATTCAGTGTCGGAGGTAGCTCTTCTTGTGTCGAGAATGATCGGCCGTATTCCCGAAGCGCTCCCTACGTAGCTCCCGTCACTCCAGAGCCCGAAGAGACCATTCCCGAACACTCCTACTAGATCGTAATCTCATCAGAGCCACCTTCGCCTTGGCGACCGATGCGATATTCCCCTTGTTGACACCGATCGCAATCGGTGGAAAGATGATGCTGCTACCGCCCGCAATCGCCCTCAAATTTGGACTTGGTTTGACGATCGCTGGTGCGAGATCAATCAAGGAGAAAGTACTCATCCCAGCTTCCGTATCGGGCGCCATGGCCGGCTACAGAGCGACTTCGAATGCGGTGAATCTCCCGCAAAGAGCCATCGAATCGGGTACTCTTCTTGTGTCGAGGATGATCGGCCGTATTCCCGAAGCGCTCCCTACGTAGCTCCCGTCACTCCAGAGCCCGAAGAGACCATTCCCGAACACTCCTACTAGATCGTAATCTCATCAGAGCCACCTGCGCCTTGGCTACCGATGCGATATTCCCCTTGTTGACACCGATCGCCATCGGTGGAAAGATGATGCTGCTACCGCCCGCAATCGCCCTCAAATTGGGACTTGGTTTGACGGTCGCCGGTGCCAGATCCATCAAGGAGAAAGTACTCATCCCAGCTTCCGTATCGGGCGCCATGGCCGGCTACAGGGCGACTTCGAATGCGATGAACCTCCCGCAAAGAGCCACCGAATCGGGTACTCTCCTCGTGTCGAGAATGATCGGCCGTATTCCCAAAGCTTCGGATCCCCCAATCGCACCGGCTCAGCCAGTGAAAATCGAAAAAACGTTCAACGTCCCCAATCTACCCCTGCCGACACTCCAGTGGCAAGACAGGACAATCAGCGTGCCCAAGATGGTCCTTCAGCAACACCCGAGCGCGACCATCACATTGGAGAAGAAGATCGTCCCCAGCTACGCAGCTCCCGTCACCCCAGAGCCTGAAGAGACCATTCCCGAACACTCCTACTAGATCGTACTCTCATCAGAGAACGCGTAGAAGTGAGATATGGGAAGCCTATATCACAGTTATATATAAATAATAATTTAAAACTATGCCCTGTTATCTATTCTGATCTATACGGGTACCAGGAATTAAATTCCATGAGCCGAATTCTTCGAATTAATAAATTCTCAGAACACCTCAATTCTGCGATCCTGTTCCCGAGCTTGCTTTTGAAATAGAAATCCTGGAAGCCCCCACGACGGAATCAGCATCAATCATCTCGTAATCGGAAAGCACGAATTTCGACCGAGGACTCAATTTCCGGACTCCTTGTCTATTTTCGCGTAAGAAGAATGTCCGCTCATATCGCAACTCTACGCACATGTGGAGTAAAGGCAAGTCGGCGTATTATTTTTCCGCTGGAGGAACGATCTTGAATCCGTTGGGGATTGATAATTCCTTGCCAACTCTGTCAGCGATGCGATTGGTAAACATCACCATCAGCTGACTGAAAAGATGCGGTATAGTGATGCTTTCTCGGCAGACGTCGCCACAAAGGTCAAAAATCGATTTCAAAGAAGACAAAATTATTCAGCCGTTTTTCACCTGACCCTGAGAGTTGAGAATCATTTCAGGCGACATTCAAGCGATTACTGGATCCGATGTCACGAGGAGCGTTGTCATAAGATCAGAGTTTGAGTGCTCCCGACTATCCCTCCTTGTGTGGTACTCCCGGAGATAGCGACCTCCCTTTCTTCGCGCCACCTGAGCTCGACTTCTAACTTCCTACAGAAGTGGAGAGCGCTCGAGCTTGTCTGTGAGTCAGACTCGGAACGTCGTCTGCTGGCACTCGAGAGATCGCTTTCCGGCGCTCATACTGAAAAGAAGTCTTGGATGTCTGGGTGGATCGCC